CGCACGTCTTTTAAGTTTACATCTACATATTGTATCCTAACTTTGCAGAAGGTGCAGTTTCCAGCGCATCGTAAACAGGGCTGGTTTATTTAAACACAACTGCTACCTCACTGTTTGTCATTTGTCCAATGGCCTCTAAACACCAGAGCCATCAGATCCCGCCACCATCCGTTTTAGAAATGCCGGAACCCGCTCTTCTTTCGCAGTTGTCGTTCTTTTTTCTCCGTGAATTTTGATTTCTACGTCAACTCTCCCCCGGGGAGCTTTGTCCTGATGTAACACACGTTGTCACTCTGAGCACTTTTTCAGTGGCTGCTCTACCATACTTCGCTGTAACCATTTTATATCAAGTGACAGACCTTTTCCTTTCCCGGCTTCATCGAGCTCTGAGCATTACAGCTTTCTTCTGGTTGGTTTGATGTCTATCAATAGTCATCATACACGGCCGATCAGAGCTGTGTGACTAATTTTAGATAATTAAGAGACCTACAAAGTTGTGTTTAAAGTACATCCCTTAATGGCATGGTGGTTTGGGGTGACTTTTTAAAATAAACAACGCGCATTGACCTACAGCTCATGGGTAATGCTACCCGTTGCCATTGATGGGCTGGCGCAAGGCTGCCCCGTGTATGCCAAAATAGAACTCTGCGCCAGGCCTTTTCTTTTTTCTTTAAAAACGCTGCCATCAAATCAACGCCAACTCACAGCCGTCCCGTAGGGCAAAACAGAACTGCTCCTTTAGGTTTCTGAGATGGGAAAACTTTACGGGAGTAGACAGCCTCCTCTTTCTGGGTTTGAACTGCTGACATTGTCTTAAGTCGTAATCTCCGCTTGTTCTCTAGGTTGTAATATCCATTGCAGTGGCTACACAAAACCCACAGACAAGATTCAATAGTAAAGGGTTTATGAAAGAAGTTAACAAGTTGTCGTGCCCGTAAGAAACATCGGGGTTAAATTGTTTCGATCAGGATATGTTACAAAAGTTCTGTCAGGTCTGCTCATAGATGCCCAAAGGCGTACCCCTCCTGTGGTCCACCCCACTTGCAGGCACCAGGAATCTCCTAATCCAGCATTTCTCAAACCTTCAAAGGCCGTACCACACTGCTGTAAACCACAGCTCAAGGTCCTTGGGTCGGCAAGCCCAACTTCCCCAAGCAAGTGCCAGAGGCACAAAAGCACACTCCGTTTACTTGCTCTGTGAGTGGGCTGGGAAGTCCATCATCGGCCCATGTTTTTTCTTGGTTCTGTTTCTACTCTTCTGTTGGCATCGCTCTCTCTGGATCCAGGAAGCTCACTGTGCAGGAATCTCCGGTCCAGAGGACGCGCTCCGCTCCTGGCTCTTGCTGGTAATGGGACCCCTCTCCCTGCTTCTCAGAGGGTTCATTTATCAGCAGCAGGGTGGCGCTCCAGAGAATCCTGTTCCCAGCTGCCCACAAGTGAATCCTCTCAGCCTCTTCTTCCCATGCAGGAAAAAGGTCCTTTGGTGGGAGTTAGAGACCTTGGCTACAGAGACCACATGACATAAGTCACTGCCCCTGCACCGCCGACCTTGTGCTTAGCAGCCCCGTGTCTAAGCCACAATGCCACCAGCAGCTCTTTTGAGCTCCAACGCGTCTTCAAAAGCTGACCTCTCAGCAGCACAGTGCTAAGCCTTTTTCCCAAGATCCTGTGACTGGACTTGAACCTCCAACCTTCTAGTTAACAGCCAAGTATATTAACCATTTGTGAAAACCAATGCACAGACCCGTGTATGACAGGATCACAAATGGACAGCTTGAGTTAGTATCACAGAATGAACGCCCCTAGGAATGCGTGTATCAGGTCCAGAAATAGAGTTCCTGTGCTAGGTTAGTTCTTTTCCACTTGTTTATTTAGACATGGAAAGATGTTCTTTGTTGCTAGAGTGAGACAAGGATCAGCTTCTATTGCATTTCCATTTTGTCATCTATGTAGATAGATATGCATCGCGCTGAAAACACTCATTCACATGAGCTAATAAATGAAATGCCAGTTTTGCTAAAGCAGGGCCACTCAATCCTTTACTCTGCTTCTGAGTTAAACATCAAAAACCAGACCATTCTCATTTTAAATGATATTTTAATTATTCCTAGCTAAAAAAAGAGAGAGAGAACTGAGACATCACTTGTCTGGCACAGAGATGGACTGTTCGCTTGCCGGGGTTGCTCTCCCCTTCGGCACTGGGCCTTCTGGAGGGACGGCTCCTGGGAGCAAGGAATCAGGCTGAGGCTGGAGATGGGGTGGGGGGAGCTCTGGGTTTCTTTGCAAAGGTTTCTTTCTGATGTAGTTGGTTTTGATTGTGAGGGAATGGGTGGGAAAGGACAGCCTATACCCCAGGCATCACCCTTTGGTTCTAGAGTTTCTGTGGAAACTGAGTCTCTGGCTACTGATTTTCATAACACTGTGCGTGCAGAAGTCATTTTTGGAGAGTCTTAGTTTTCTGCAGTATGAAGTCCGTCTGAACGGAAACAGGAACCAGACCAGCCTCTCTACATTTCCCAGTTTGTGTTTCTACAAGAAGGCATCTGGTCGCA